TCCTCTGATATAGTCGCTGTTATTATTATTTTTATTTTCTGGAATGGCCACTGTTGATACGTTGTGTGTGAGCAAAGGAACTAATAATAAAAAAGCAAATGGCAAGAAAGATTTAATAATCCAGTTGATCAGGTTTCAGTGCAGACAGCCTCTCAGCTGTAGTTGACCGCACTGTGTACAGTTCCAGCCCCCACAGTCGTTGCTGTTTACAGTCCCTGCTGTCCCTGTCTCTCTGTTAGGGCTGGCCGATATATTATACATTTATATAAAATGTGCCTTTCTTTAGCAAGGGCCAGGACAAAAAGAGGTTGAATTTATCCACTTTGTGTATCAAGGCACACAGGTAATAATTTTAATGTTAATGTTTTGTCATCCACTATTGGAGCTGAGTTCCTCTCCATCAGGGACTAGGGGGATATGCTGTTTATGAGCCAGGGCACATTCGTTATGTGATTTCATGGTGACTAGGGCTGTGTATTGGTAGGAATCTGGCAATACAATATGTATCACTTTTTTTCAATCTTGATATTTTTTGATATTTTCTCACACCCATAATGGTGACACTATCGTTATTCTATTGAATAATGACCTTATTGCTATTGATGAATTGTCTATTGTCGATACATACAGCAATTTTTTTTTATTGCCCAGGCCTGCTCTCCATCCACTGTTTCATCCATATTTTATGGTTTTCCTTTGCCAGCATAAAGTAGAAAGTTTTTTAAGGGATGTTGGTTTTGGCAGAACAACAAGATGCCTCTAATTAGGGGTGTGAGAAAATATCGATGCCAGCACCGTTCCCGCCTAAAGATTTTCCTAGCTGACTAGTTGTTGTTTGTTCAAGCCATTAGCCAGCTTGTTGTTCAACTTATTTAAATATATTAACAATTAATAATATAAATATATAACAGCCACCTGTTAAATTATACGCACACGCTGTAATACATGTTACAACATTTAAAATGTAGTTAATTTATTTAAACACAGTGTAACATCACACAGTCTCGCTGTTCAAAACACGGAATAAATAACTTCCAACTAATCAATACGACGGATGATTACAAATCAAGACGCTGCAAACTCCTCTTCCTCTCCCGTTATATGGCACTTCTGTCCCTGCCTGAACCCGCCATGTGTTACTGAACACCATGTGCATCTTGTGTCACATTACATTATGTACGTTATGTTACACTGCAGCACTGGTCTAGTGTCAATATCATAAATCTGATTGAAGACTTGCAGAAGCACCGTGCACAGGAATATGGAAAAGCTGTCAATAGAAGCAAGAAGCACCAGGGAGAAAAGTCAGCATGAGGCTCACATGTGTGTCCTGTGTTATTACTCAGTCTGACAGCACTCTGCCTGAATTCAGTTTTGCAAAAAGAGGCACTCCACAAGAAGGAATCCATTACAGGAGCAATTGGGGGGGGATGTTAAACAATGGCATATTAAAAGAATATGGCTGCTTTAACAATGTCAGGAACATGCTAACTGTGATCAGCTCATCAACAGCTTTGTATAGTATCAGACTGGTGTCGGTACTGGCAGATACTCAATAATGTGGAATTTCTGTTAGAAATGAAGGAGTGATACAGAGCCACCTCTAATTTCCTCTGTACTGAAGACAGATCCCTCCCTGTCTCGCTCTCACAGCTGTTCAGACACAGCGGTGCATTTTAATGTGTGCAGGCAGCTTTTGTTCTTCATGCAGACAAAAATCATTACATTTTGCTTTTACATGTGGATCATCTTCTCAATAGAATGTGTCCTCTACGTCAAGGAACACTACAAAGCAAAAAGCTCTGACTAAAGCTGCAGGTGTAATGATTCTGATACAGAATAAAAAACTAAATTCAGATTTTTCCATTTATTCTATCCTGTGTAGCTGTGGAGACATTATTATTTCTTTAGATATGAGATCAAACATTTTTCTGGAGCCTCTTTCAGCACTGCAGTAACAAGGCATTTTGTCAGAAAAGGAAAAGATAGGAAAAAAACATGTAAATGTGAATAATATTCAGTTCAATTCAATTTTATGTGTACAGTGCCAAATCATACCAGAAGTTATCTAAGGACACTAAGAGCAGGTCTAGACGGTTCTCCTTACAATATGAATATGATCCCTGAATTAAAAAGAAATAATAATCAGTTTGGTAAACACCCATCTATGAAACTCTTTACTGTATGTTCTCTGACTTGGCCCAGAAAATCGGACCCAACCCAACCCCGAAAAGCAGTTTCCAGCCCGACCCGAACCAGAATTTCCACTTTAAAAAGTTGTGCATATAATATAGTGCAAATTATGTTAGAAAAAATAAAAAAGACATTCACTCATTAATTACAGTTTGATTAATAATAAATTATTAAACACACATTTATTAAAAAAGATCTCATTCTGTCCGAGCCCGACTCCCAGCAGCAGCTTTGGGCTGGAGAATCAGGCAGAGAATTAAAGCTCTGTGTGCTCTATATTGTCCTCTGCGTCTCTACGGAGGAGAATGGGGGGAGAGCATTGTTTCAGGTAAGGCATGTCCTTGAAGTAAGGGGCATACGTGTGTTAGTGGCAAATACTTTTGCATTTGGAATTCGCCACACGATTGGTAGGCACTAGACACACACACACACACACACACTGGGTCTTAAGACCTCTGTTTGCCATCAGCAGAACGGCCAAGGTGTTCGACAATAGCTGCTCTTTTCTTCCATCAGAGCTCTCTGGGACTCGTACTTGACTTCTCTCCTACAGTTGTTGTACCTTTGACCAGATTTCAATGAATCACACTCTCCTGCACACTGTCTCATTGTTTGTACTGATGAGTCAACCAGCAGGTTTCCATCCATGTCCATCTCCTGGAAGTGCTCCAACTGACAGTCATCTAATATTATGAGAAACAGGACGAGGAGGGGGATCACACATAGAGGCCTGTTACTGTAGACAACACACACACTGTCTCCCAGAGTGTGTGTGTTTGATTTAATAAACTACCTTGGCAGGACTGTTCATGATAAAGTTATTGAACTGAATTACACTGGCAGAGATTGAGGGTGTGTCCCCCTCCAGCACCACTGCATAGGCTACTGTGTGGGAGTGTGGGTGTGTGTAGTGTATCTAACATGTCACTGATGTGTTGCCTGTTTCTTAAACTAATAAAACCTATTTTATTATTTTCCCCTGTTTCTCCTTCTCTGTCACACACACACAAACGTGAACTCATATTACCCTGAGATAACACTGTATCACTGTGTTTACACTTGGGTCCTTATTTGCACTGTCACTATCCAACACACACAATACAGCTTCCAATGCATAAAACATAACTGAATCCCTCACAAAACCCAGCATGCTTATAGTGCAGGTGCACAGTGCTGATACATTAATGAAAACTGCTCAGATAAATCAATGACTAAAGGAACAATTAAGGCTGAAACTTACAATTTCCATCCATTACATATTAATCTGTTGATTATTTTGATGATTGCTCTTCAAAATGGCAGAAAAGCATGGAGAAACTGCAAATCCCAAGTTCCCAGAGTGCTAGGTGTTGTCTTTTATCTGACAAAGATATTCAATCTATGATCATATATAACCAAAAAAAGCAGCAAAGTCTCAGATTTCAGAGAAAATGTGGAGTTTTTGTTTGAGCAATGACTGTTAGAGCAGCAGCAATTAGTCAATTAACTGATTAGCTGTCAATTATTAAATTGATTGCCAGCTGTTTTGATAACCAATCAATCTCTGAGTCATTTCTTAAGAAGAAATTCTCTCATTTCAGCTTCTGAAATGTGAATATTTTCTGCTTTCTTTAGTCCTCTATGACAGTAGACTGAATGTCATTGGGTTGTGGACGAAGTAAGACATTTGAGGACGACACCTTGGGCTTTGGGAAACATTTTTCACCATTTTCAGGACCAAAAAACGAATGGATTAATCAAGAAAATGATCGGCAGATTAATCTATAATGAAACTAATTGTTAGCCCCAAATGACGATCAAACTGATGATCAGCGTTGCTCTTACTGATCAGTTAGCCTACTCTGGTAATTGTTTCAGCAGCTATAAACATACCGAACATTACCCGCTTATTTCAGCATCAGTGAGGTTCTTTTCTGTATTTCATGCCAGTGTAAGAAGGATTTTCAGACCGTTGGTCAGACAGCCTAAAGACACGATGGACCAGCAGATCAATCAATGATGATCAATAAAAAAGACTTGCCAGCTGCAGCTCTGTGTGTTTAGCTATTATGCTCTAATAGAAGTGTCAAACACACACTCTGGTCATCAAAACACACACACACACACACACACACACACACACACACACACACACACACACACACACACCCTTCCATCCATTCTTATATCCCACACACAACCATATGAACACTTTTTATCCCACCTTCGGACCATTTCTGATCAGTTTGGTCAGAATGAGCTGTCATCTGCTGTTTTTCTCTAAATGCATCAGTGTACAAACACACACACACACACACACACACACACACACACACACTCACATAGACACACAGCCTGCTTATTAAAGCTCTAACAGCACTACATAAATCGTCATTTAGTCGCATATGAGCAGATTTCCTGGTGTTCCCATGAGCTGATGATGTGATTCCTCCATGATTCCTCTTTCTTTTGTAGAGACCATCAGCATCAGACACATGAGCTCACACTACTGCACACACACACACACATGCACGCACAGGCGCGCACACGCACGGACACAATATACACAGCAAACGCATGTTAAACATCAAAGAGCGACACTGAGAGCCACATTTATCATGAACTGTGTGAATGTGCACGGTTTGATCCCCATCTGGCCGCTCCTGTGTGAGAGCCCGGAGCAGACAGACCTCTGCTCATTCTCTGCACATTCTGCTGATCCTCACTGGCTCTTCATGCGCCTGTCCACACGGCGCTTTTGGTGACATTCGGGACACTTTCTGATGCCTTTGTGGCACAGTGGTCTGGTCTGCAGCCGCTCTTCCTACCTGTTTTGTAGAAGGCATCAGTGTCGGGGTCGCTGGGCGCCTCCTCGGCCGCTTCTGCAGGGTTCATACCGGAATCCGGTTCAATACAATCCACCGACAAAGAAAGACTGAAATTTAAAAAAAAAAAAAAAAAGCCCTCCGCTCCGGAAAATCCTCACGTCTTTTTTTTTTATTCCTCACATGTTCTCCGTTCTCCTCTCTCTCTCTCTCCCTCCATCCCCCTCGCTAGCTTTCTTTCTTTCTGTCGCCCTCTTGGTTTGTTTGGTGTTTCAGGGCTGGCTTCGTTTCTCTCTATTGTTCCCGGTCCAACCTCCTTCCCTGCTGCTGTCCGCCAGGGTCTCTCTACCTCCCTCCCTCTCCCCCCGTACCTCCCCACCCTTCTCTCTCTCTCTCTCTCTCTCTCTCTCTCTCTCTCTCTCAATTCAATCCATTGACCTTTATTAACTAGACATAATGTGTTTGTTGTTAAAGCATTCACATATTAATGTCAAACACAAACAGCAATTTATTATAATAATAATAATAATTATTATTATTATTAAAGTTCATCCTCTGGGGACCATGAGCATGCTCAGTACATCAGAGGTCCAGTGTGTAACATTTAGGAGGATCTATTTGCAGAAATGGAATATAATATTCATGGGTATGTTTTCATTAGTGTTTCTTTGTCGAGTTCAAGACCAGGGCTAGTCGAGAACCGAGTCAAGACCGTGTCCAACGAAGTTCGAGTCCAAGTCAAGACCAAGACAGAAAAAAAAAAATGGACTGGTCACCTGTTAGCTGTGGTAGTGTCAGTGTCAATGCCCGTTCTAGATGGATTTTGAATTACCCGTTTTATGAACTAGTGCACTTCATCAATGGTTTTGTTTGGAGGAGGAAGTTACACAGAAAAAACTACAACATATTGTTGGACTCGGTCGAGAGACCTGCTGCAAGATGCTGGTAAATCCTACACACTGGACCTTTAACTCTCCTGTCTATGTTCTAGCATTGTGTGTGCTGTCATCTACCTCTGCCTGAATACTATCCTTGTGTGCAACATTGTGCAGGGTTACACATGTTCTGCCATGCCCGCGTTGGTGTCCTCCAGGTGCTCTGGTTTCCTCCCAAAGACTGATTGGAGACTCTTTCCAGGTCTCAGTGGCACAGGACAGGTTTTTAGTCCAGGTCCAACCAGTATTTGTTGGCACCTGGAAGATGCTCGACATCCATATTGTAATTATACAATATCAAAACTACATCTGTCCACCCTGTACATAACACTTATTGTACAGTCTGTCCATCTTGAGAGAGGGATCCCTCTCTGTTGTTTTTACTATCCGAGTCAAGCGTCCAAGGATAGAGGGTGTCACATGTTGCATAGATTGTGAAATCCTCTGACACAAGTTTCTGATTTTGAGCTATAGAAGTAATAGTGAGTTAAAGGACCATTGTGTGGGATTTAGTGGCATCTAGTGCCGAAGTTGCAGATTGCAACTAACAGTGGCCACGAAACTTAAAAAAAAATGCTAAAGGCCCTATCTAAAGCCAGCGTTTGGTTTGTCTGTTCTGGGCTACTGTAGAAACATGGAGGTTCAACATGGCAGACTCCATGGAAGGCGACCCACACGTCTGCAGGTGAAATGGCTCATTCTGAGCTAACAAAAGCACAATCCTTCTTATTTTCAGGTGATTTTACACAAATTAAAGCATAAACCTATACATATTTTATTACATAATTATTCTGACAATAGATCCTCCTAAATGTTACACACTGGACCTTTAACTTTACAAAAGGTCACCAGAAGCATTATGAGTCATGGTCCTGGGATAGTTGCATACAGTATTTCTCTGCTGAGCATAGCTGAAGAAACCAGCAGGAATGCAGATTTGAAGATAAGTCAATTTTAGTTTAATATCAATGAATTAGTGAAACACACAAACACATGTGGAGACTCAAAAACAGTTAAGTATGAAGCCTAAGATAGCTATACAGGGTAAACTATAATTTTCCAATTCAAAAGGCAAACCTGAAAGTGCTGAGCCAGTGTCTTGGTATCGGATTCATAAAAACATTAGAGATACTCACATCAATCTCCAATGTCAAACAGCTGCTTGTGTGTAAATATCAGGTACTTCAGCCAAACAATGAGATGCTTTAAGGATGGCAGTAAAACAGCAGAAAATGATTCTGTTGGCCTGAAGTTAAAGCTTCACCAAGAGGCTTTAGACATGATTCATCCTCTTGGGTCACAAAAGCAGAAACAAATAGTTCTTAGTGAACTGTAACTGTGCTGATGCAGTTATTTGGACAATGTTTGATGCAGCTGAGACATACTGGGAATTATGTGTGCTCCATTAAGGTCCAGTTCTCCTGCCCGTTCATTAAAAACACCACTACAGTATGTCAGCTGTTATCCGGATGTCTTAATTCACTCTTTTTGTTTTTGTTGTAGTTTGAATAAAAGTATAGTATCCTCTTCACACAATACCCCTGACCTTAGTGCTGCTAATCAACTACTGTACTATTATACTACTATATGTTATTATTAATTCATGTAAAAGGGTTTGTCTCACATAGAAAAGCCTGTAGGGAATTATCACCAAATTCAAATTCAGTTCTATTGAGCTTGTTAGCATCTTTTAGCAAATTGTTTCAGTTTCATGGCACATTTATTGTTTGGTTCCATCTCAGCACTCATTAACCCTGTTTACAGCAGCAGACAGCTGTTTCAGAACAGAGTTGATGCTGCCTACACAGCACCAAACAAAACAAAGAAAGGAATTAGTGAAGACCAAACTAAATTAGGCTAAAAAGAGGATGAATACTGGGGTGCATTTGAGAAGCAGCTACAAAGAAAACTCAAAAGAATGCTGAATTCATGCAGTCTGGAAAGAGTCTGGAGTGCAGGCAAATATTCGCTAACACGTTAGACCCAAACCACAGGTGGCAACATATTCTTTACTCAAGTAGAAATGCAGACACTTGTGTAAAACAGTACTCTGGTAAAGGTAGAAGTATACAACTTCTTAAGTCAAGTAAAAGTGGAAAAGTACAGGCTCTGAAAAGAACTCTCTTGGTTCCTCTGAAGGACATTTCTACCGGCTGTTTCCATGCAAAGCTAAGTGAACCTTCAAATTGGGTCGAGTCTCCCTCTCTTGTCCGTTTCGTCTTGTTACGTCTGTCATGCGTGATGTGCACCGGTCTAGATGTTTGGAAGGTGCGCAATGATGCAAAAAAAAAAAAAAAAAAAACTTTCTCAAATGCATTAAAACCTAAGAAATGAGTCTGTTTGGAAAATGTCAGGAATAAAAAGTTCAGATATTTGTGTAAAAATGTAGCTGAAAAAAAAAACCGACTTAAGTACTGTAACGAAGTATTGTTGTTTGACCAGAGGTGGGAAGCAACAAAGTACACAGTTGTAAGGCTAGAATATATGAGTCTGCCCCCCAACAAAGAGGAATAAACACAAATGGAGAATTGATGCCTTCAGTTCCTTCAGTTTTGTTAATTCTGGCGACTTCATCACAACTAATGAACTATTCTGCTCTTTTCTCCTGTTTTATTCAGGCAGTGTTCAGTCATTTTACATAAGCTAACATGGGAGGTATGGCATGTTTTTGACATAAAGCTATTTTCGATTCACTCTTTAGTGCCAGCTGGGAGGAGCGTGCCTGTATGCTGGCCTTCTTCCAGAGGTGACAATGTCTAACATGTCCCTTTTACTCCCCCTGACCCCCTCCCCTCTCCTCTTACAGACCACCTCATCAGCATGGAAGCAGTGTGCACCCTGCCCTGCTGTCTGTACCCTCTTACTGTGTGCTACTGCCACCCAGTGGACAATACTGCACATAGCAGCTATGTTGTTGTATAACGTTTTTTTCACATGATTTTTTTTGTAACACTTGACAGCCCCAGAGTTCCCTTTTCAAAGCCCCACTCAAGTCAGTTTTAATGAATGGTTTCTGCTTTCTCCAAATAATTAACTGTGCTCAAGACAAATGATTACATAAAAAGTAATACCAAAGACTGTTGCTGTGTCATGTCATCCTTATATTACATTTGTCTTTACTCTAAAAGCTGATTTACAGACATGAATTTGGAGGGAGGATCTAAGATGTGTCACAAAATGCAAGGCGGTAACATGTAACTCTAGAAGGTCATGAGCCTTGATGTAAAACGTTAAGCCCACTATCCTGATTCTCTTTTATTGCTGCTGTCTTCTGGTCCCCCTTGTCTCCAGTCCTTAAGCCAGAAAAAGACTCTCCTAAAGCATTTCCTGAATGGGTGCTACAAATGTAGAAAGTGTGCTGTAACACTAAGAACAGCTGTATTTTAGTCAGGCATCCTCGCAATAGAAATTGTTACCCTGTCAGTGATATCACTGCATGTACTTACTTAGTGGTGAATAACGTGATCTATTGCTATTGTTGGGTTTGTCCGTTCTGTAGAAACATAGTGGTTAAACATGGTGGACTCCTATATATATATATATATATATATATATATATATATTCCATTTCTACCAATAGATCCTCCTAAATATTGGACCTTTAAGTAAGTGTCTGTGTGATTTACTGCGATTGGATAAAACATCAAGACATCTTAAAATGTCAGCACAAATGCTCTATTACAGGAAATGATAGAGAATATCCTGTGGCTGTTCATTTTGTCTTTTAAGCATTGTATCTCTTTTGTTGAGGGATTTAAACAAAGTGGTGATATACTCAACAGAAGGAAGGTGAATTGGATTTTTTCTTTATGAACCATCTCACCCGAGGGCATGAATGCAAGCAGGCAAAACGTATATGGGTGGAAGCAGTTTCTTCATTGGATATATAGGTTTTTAATCCAATGTATTACCCCCTTCCTGTTCATCAAGATTGGTATCTAACTCTGTAATGACTTCCTTCAGCTTTTTTGACAGCTCTGTATTGTTTCCCCTCAGTATCCAACATTAACACCAAATCACCGGGATTTCCAACTATTGCACCAGGTAAGACAACTGGCCATATTTCTATTTCTTTTCTTGGGTAAAAATAATTTAATTGGCATCACTTGTCTTTTCAATGTGTCAAAGTCCAGAGTCATCAGACTCAGAAGTCTGCAGCACCGCCCTGTGTACTTCACTGCTGTCACCTGGCCCATAAACCAGAGAGACTACCTAAAATATCTGAGGCCATCAACAACATTGGTCAGTCATGATTCCCTGGAAGGAAATGATTGGGCTTTCTACAACAGGAAGAAACTCCAGTGTCATACTTCAGGAGACCTGCAGGGAACATTGAGGTTTACAGACGTGAGCACAGTTTTTAGCTAATATAAGGTCAGCCCAGAGACATTAAAAGGACCAGTGTGTA